TATCTCAAACACACTTTGACTGCAACAAAGATCTTCATGAAAAAGTTTAACATTTGTAAAACAGCGAGCGGTCCTAATGAGAGCTACCTTATCAAAAGCCAGCTAAACCAAAGGTCAAATTGTAAGCATAAGTTGTACATTGCAAATAAAGCCACCAAAGCATTCAGAAAGCCAGGAGGTCAGGGAAATTACCTCATCGTGTATGAGCATAGCAAACTAATAAGGGCAAACCAGTGATCTGTGATAAGCTCCGCACCCGTGTTTCCTGGAGAAGAACAGACTTTGATCTTTATGAAAGAGAAAATATTAGAGTGGCAGGTTGCATACTTTACTTCAGAATGCCTAAGAATATTATGTACTAATAATCAATTAAAAGCTAACAATATACAATAGTCATATCTATTTTTAAGGAACAAATGCAACATAATATAGTTATATATTATAGCATTATCCTTTTGATAAAAGGTTAGTATTTATATCATTCTGTCTTCAAGTATTAATATATGTATATCATGTATATATATTTCAAGCCCTTCCCTGGTTGAAGTATATAAGCTTAGTCACCACCTAAGCTTTCTAGTAAACTTCTGCCTAGCAACTAGCACATCACAAGTAGTCAACTATTTGGTTTTGAATTAAACCCATAATCATTTTTCATAATAGAAGCCACCATACTTATACTAGCTTTAGACTTTGGGTGATATATAACAATAAATTGAGGACCTTAAAGCTTTTTATAAGTTCAACATGAAGAACAAATCCTAATTTAGCCTTTGAGGCAGGACTCAGGATCAATTTCTGTAGTTCTGGCTTAGGCAAATAAACATGCGGAAAATATGAAAGAAAGGGAAAAAGACTGAAACTTTTGTAAAAGCAGAAAGATTAGAACTATTTTACTCAAATGATAACTGTTAACTGAAAAAAATTAAACCTTTTGTTAAGTCACTCCATAAGGACCTTGATGTTGGTTTACAGTTTTAGTAAAATTAATTAACTAAAAAAGCATTGTAGCCCTTTCAATCAGCTCACAAATTTTTGAGAATTTAAAAATAACAGCGAGTGTTTATATAAAAATTGTATTATGGTAAAAGACACATAACCATTCATCCCTCTTAAAATACTTCCCCTCCCTTCAGACACACTTATCTCATTGCTGTTGTTACTTTTTTTTTTTGGTACCGGGAATTAAACTCGGGACGCTACACTTGCCAGGCAGGTGCTCATACCGCTGAGCCACATCCCCAGCCTTGCTCTTGTTACTTTCTGCATCGGTTTTATGCATTCTCTTTCATGAATGCCTTTACGAGGTGTGATAAAAAATACAGTGAAGAGTACTGCCAAGTGCTATCCAAGAAAAGACAGAGTTGCAAAACCTTACAGTGTCCTCCTCCAGCTCATTCAGTGGATCTGGCACTTGTGACTTCTGGCTCTTTCTCAAAATAAAAATAATTATGAAAAGTAAATATTTTGGATTTATTCAGGACATCAAGGCAGCCATGGTAACTAATAGAGACAGTCACAAAAAGGCCTTGCAGAACTGTTTTGGAAAATGCTGAGAACGATGTGATAAGTATGTTTGGAGCAAGGGGGAGTATTTTGGGGAGGACTCATAGCAATGTGTCTTTTACTGGAATATATTTTAAAAAATTTTTTTTA